TTTGGGTTTTGCGCTTTTTGACCTCCAATTATCCCAAAACTCGTCCTCGACCCTTCCACACGTGCTAGGACCTGAAATGTATCAAAACAAGCACAACCTAGCGTGAAATATGTGGAGGAACGATGAAATACTAAACTAAATGAATATGAAATGAGGGGTAAAATGTGTACATTTGGGCCCGAATCACCCCCCCATACTTAGACGTTTGCTTGTTCCCAAGCAAACCATTCTCAACCTAGGTAATATTTCAACCTACAAAGATAGCTAGGGGACATTTCAAAAGACACAAGGCTGTGAATCTCAAATGACTATTTGGGCATCGACACTCGAACCGTCTCAAACAATTCCGGCATCCACCACTAATGACATTCAATTGCATAAAAAATGGGCAAATGAAAAGTTCTCATTCTATCCACAATCAATGCAAGTCTCAACCGGGACACTAATCAATCACAACCGACCATGCATAGAACTCAAGTCAACAGAACAAACAACAGGGCAACACAGGTCCTCACCGGGATAAATATGAACATGCAAGAACAAGAATGAATCGCTCACTCTCGACCAGTGGGGTCAGGACCTTTTTGGTGCAAAAGATGTGCACAATCATCACCACTCATCCCTACCATCTCACCACCACGGCGACAACCTCTAAACGCTAGAGTTCACGGGATAGTTATCATCACTAGCTCGTCCGGAGGTCTTAGACGCGGGTTCAGATGACTGGCAATTGTCTTGGACATGGGGAAAAAGGCTTTTGTGGTGGTGGCAAATATAACATGAGGTTGTACATCTTCAACCTAAACCCCAAGGTTCTGTGGTTTCGACTAAGAACCTTCTCTACAAACAAAGGCCACTAGCATTGGCCAAAAGCCTTACTTCTCCCTTCTAAACTATCACCCATCATGAACTACATTTAAGCCCTCTTCCTCGGTCTTCTCTCTCTATCCCCTTTCGATTTGGTAGTGAAAGAGTTCTAAAACAATGTGGGGGGTCTCATTGGTTTGAGTGCCAAGAAACCCCTCCTAGAGCATACACTTTGATTTTTCGTGGCACTCTCTACTTTATTTACCCCGTTTTATTACCTCTTTTTCGTTTTTCTTTTCTTTTCTTTTCTTTTTGAGGGGGGTACTAGAGAGTAAACACTTGCTACATATACATTTAACGACCAATGCTCTCTTTTCAAGAACTCACTCCAACACTACACTTCATTTTGCATTCCTAGCAAAAACCACACATAATCCTCCTATGTAGAACCTCAATCAGGGGCGGAGCCAGGATTTCGAGACCGAGTGGGCCGAAAATAGATAAATGTAAATAAAAATAAAATAATTATTTTTAAAGTCCACAACGTTCTTTGAGATCATTGACATCTCTCAAAATAGCATTTGAACTAAAAAATTTAGCTATCTTTCTTTCAATATAAATAACTAAATCATTAACAAGAAACTCATCATTTATTTTGTTTCGCAATCTATTCTTCACTATCTTTATGCCTGAAAACATGCACGATCACATGTAGCTTTACAAATTTGGAAGAGTTAGAAGAAGACAAATCAATCTATCAACAAAATAAAATTCCTTTGACACTAATCTTTTTGTTCATTCCGACATAGATAAAAAATAGATCATGTAGTTTGTATAAAGAGCTAAAAATCTCAAGTGAGCTAAATAGAGGTTGTTTTTTTTCATTTGTAGCTGGATTAAAGTACCAAAAATAATGAAAAGGAGTGGGTATCTGTGTGCTTTGGTCCAGGACTTTGTGGAGGAGAATTAAGATAATAAAGTCCAAAAAGAAGTTAAAGCAAAATTGAGGTTGTTGTGGATTGAACCTGTTTGCTTTAGGCTAAAAATTTATCTTAGCTACCAGTAGAGGACATGATTATTATGTGATACAATTTATAGGTCGAACACTACTTATCCAAAATTTATCTAAATATCCTTACGGTCCTAGGGGCGAGACTATTTCCGGGTGGGCCCCCGGCCCACCCTACTTGGTATTTGACTCGCACGAAACTACACCTCAAATTAATCCCGACTAGAGCCCAAGTTTTTGAACTCTAGCCGGGTGCAGTATATAGCAAGTATTCAATTGTCAACCCGGGCCGGTCCATGTACCCCTACTTCAATCGCTTAAGTTGTTATCTAGCAAAACGGTTTTGGGTTTTCAAACTAAGAAAACTACAAACTAAGCAAGCAAAGAAAAGTAGATAAAGGAAAACTCTAACTAAGGGAGCTTCACCCAGGAGTTGTTTCCCCCTAACTAGCTACCATGACTCGTTGGATTGAATAAAGTCGCGTGGCGTAGGTGGTTGTGAACCGCGGGGGTGAGCAAATAGTGGTCGATTTGTCATGGAATCAATTTACTGGCGATCAATTTGTCACGGTTTTGATCCACTCACCAAGTCTAGGGGAACCACTAGGAGGAGCAACTAGTGATCCATTTGTCACGGGATGGATTCACTAGAGATCGATTTGTCACGGGATCGATCCTCTAACTCAGTCTCTAGTGGTTGCCTAGGTCTCTCCCTCAAACCGGAGTTTGAGAGGCTTAATCAAAACCAACCTAGAGGCTTAATGCAACCTAGATGCTTAATGCAAACTTGAGTCAAGGAGGATGCTCATCTCTAACCTAGATAGTAGGCAGAAAGTGCCCAAGAAAACCAAGCTTGTCAAGCCTACCTAAAAAGGTGTGGTTTTCCTCTAATCTAGGTTAGCCAAGTTTATAGAATGAACCATTTTGACTCCCTCTTCATTATTTAGCAGCAAGGAAACAGCCGCTCATGACTCATGCTGCAAAACAGGGGAATAAATGCATTCTTGTGCCCGCATTCAGCATTCTTGAATCCACAACCGCTTTCAGCATTCAGTTCCTCTTATTGTAGTCCTCTCACCTTATAAGTTCCATAAGTAGGCTTTCTTGAATCCACATTCAGCAGCAGGGAAGCAACCGCTCTTGCTGGGGAAAAAAAATGAGTCGCCCTGTTTGCTTGTTTGGGTGGTGGGTTGCTGTTTTTGATTTGTTTCGGTGGAATTTTGTACAGAAAAAGATCGAACCCATCCAAGTTTCAGGTTGTTTTGATGAAAATTACAGTCTGAACCCGCCATCACCATGGATTGATTCCCTCTTCTTCCCAACTTCTTCATCATCGCTAATTTCCTCTAGGTTGTCTCCGACGAACTCACTCGAGTAATTGTGTTGAGGACGTTTCCCTAGAGTGCCTGGCTAATCACGGCCAACTGATCACCAACTTTTATCTGCTCTGCTGGTAGAGGCAAAGAAAATTTCAGAGTCGGGCAGAAGGAGAGGATTCGTTGCCGCCTGCTGGAGCTTATTATTTCTCCAGCTACACACCTATTATTCTTCAGGCCATCCGTATCGTACCATTACAAAAAGTAGACAAAATTTCAATATTCAATCCACGAATCCAATCCACTAATTCACAGATCCATTTCAATTCAATCCACGAATCCACGAATCCACTTGAATTCAATCCACGAATCAACGAATCTACAAATCCGATCCAATTGCCACCTCTATTCGACACAATTCAAGAGTAGCCAAGGCTAGTGATTTCATTCTTTCTAGAATCCAGATCATCTATTTTCTACTTTTAAGTTTTAGTATTTGTTTGCGAATTTTAAATTCCAATCTTTCTCCCTTTTTTTGTTGCATTTAGTGTTCTTGATTGTGGAAGAGGAAATGAGAGTAGTCATAAGACGAGTTTTTTCTCTCCCTCATTCTGTTTTTCTTCCTTTTTTTAGGTAAAATATATTAATGTTACCACACTATACCATCTGGTAATGTGTGCTAACTAAATGTATTTTTATGGTCACGAGTTTTATCATGGTGGTAGTGGGTGGTAATCGACAACAGTTCCGAGAAAGAAGAGTTAGAAGACAATGAAGTGGGAGAAGAAAGTGAAGAGAGTCGTAATTGTATATATTATATTTATAATTTTATGTAGCCTGTTTTACCATGTTATACCATGTGGTGGTAGTTGGATTTGTAATTTTATTTTAGCATGTTATACCATATGGTATGGTATGGTAATTAGATTTGTAAATTTTTATAGCATGTTTTACCATGTTATACCATGCGGTATTGTATGGTAGTTAGATTTGTGATTTTCTTCAACATAGTTTACCATGTTTTACTACGTTATACCATGTGGTATTGTATCACAGTTAGATTTGTAATTTTCTTCAACATATTTACCATATTTTACCATGATAGTAGAAAGTGATAATCATATTTATACTTGTAATTACTGTCTTTAGCACTGAATTATTTAACGAAAAAATCATCATTCAATTTGAGTTAGAATTAGAACAGAGATAGCTAGGAATTAGGATGGTTAGATTCATTTTTGTTTTTGTAGATGGGAGAAAGAATAAATAATGTATTTTTTCTTTTAATAATAAAACAAAGAGTGAGAGAGAGGGGAACCAGTGTGGGATGGGGGAGTGGGATCCGCGTCTGGTCAAAAAGTCAGCGTCAGCGTCATCATTAAAAGGGGCGCAATTTACCTAGTGCCCCTCCGTGTTTAATTTAAATAAAAGGAAAAGAATGACACGTGGGGACATATGATTGGATTACTGACAGTTACTGATAGGAGAGTTACTGACCTGATCCGGTCCCAGTAATAGTGGTGTATAATTTACAGTAGTAATATTTTGTACAGAATTTCCAATAGAGATAGAAGGGATGAGATTTTATATTTAAATTAATTAAATAAAATTTCTCAAATACAAAATAAATTTTTCATCACTTTCCACCGTCAAATTTGACTTAAAATAATCTTCGATAATTAAAATAATTAGTAGGTTAACTATTATAAAATTAGCACCTATACTTTTCCCCATATTAATAGCTCCTTAAAATTAAAAACGACAAAAACCAGTTTATTTTTATTTTTATGAGGAAACGGTCTTGTCCTGTTAATTCACACCCATTACAAACAGAACCTGCTTATAAGTACAAACAGAAAAAGTGAGACTGCTTTCGCTCTATTCCCTAGCCGAGTTAGTCTCTAATTGAATCGAACCTCTCTCTATTCGTTTTCGGAAGATTCAGTAGTCGAGGAAAGTCTCTTCACTCAGCTCAGCTCGCAGATGGCGGTAAACCTTCCTTTCTCATAGTATTTTGCTTTCCTTCTTAGTTTATGCCCTCAATCCAATGAATCTCCACCATGGCCAAATCCTACAGCGACTGATTTTGACTTTTCAATCATTCTCTCTCTCTGCCTATGTTGGAAAGATCCAACTTTGCTTTCGCCATGGCATCAATACTGATGTGGAAAATCCTAATTTCGATTAGAAGGCGACTCCATCTTGATTGCCTAGCTAGCTGGATCTTTCCTCTGTGGGTACTAGGCGTCGTCAGTTTTGGTGGTTGAGTGAATCCGATTTGCAGGAAATTGAGAAACAAACACCGCACTGCTCTGCTGTTGATACTCTAGATTGGTTGTTTCTCACTCTGCCTTGTCTAGATGAGTACTGTAAGGCTCGAATTGATTGCTTATTAGGGGTTCAGTTCATTTTTAAATGTGCATATTCAAAATGTAGGGAGTAGAGCGTTGAGCAGGTTTAGATGAACAAGAGCTCGGAGCTCTGTTGCTTCTAAGTTTCTTGATTGCCCTTTTTGTGTACATACATGCATACATCCATAAAGTTCGATGTCGTTGATGCAGTGGTTGATGATTTGAGTTCTATTGGCACCCGATTTGCATTGTGCGGGCTCAGTTTGTTTGATGTGATTTGTTTCCATAGGGGCTCAATGATGCGCTTTACAGTATGGTCTTGTTAGCCTTCATTGGTTAAATCTCCCCCTTTTGCTTGTCTATTTCCCTTGCATCACAGGTATCAGCTGTCAAAGTCAGCAATGTTTCATTGGGAGCAACCGAACAAGACATAAAGGAGTTCTTTTCTTTTTCTGGTGAAATTGATTGTATCGATATGCACAGGTTAGTTGTTTTTATAAACTTGATATATTGCAGCACTCAGTTGTTGTCATGGTTTGGATATTCAAAGCTCCAATTTATTCTTTCTGTTTTCTACATTTGGGCTTCCTTTCAGTGACACTGAGCGCTCTCAAATCGCATACATAAGATTCAAAGACTCCCAGGGGGCTGAGACTGCAAAATGTCTATCGGTGCGATGAAATATCTCTCAAACCCCTTCCACCTTTCTACTTTTCTATTCGAGTTTAACCGAGTACTGTTGCTCTGCTACATTATTTCATGATGGTGCTGTGTCTATATACGGCTCCGAGTAAACTATTAATTAAGAAATGCATTATGCATATGCCTTGGTTTGAATGCTGCCTCTTACAGCTCCATCCTGTTTTCTTCCAGGGAGCAACAATAGTGGATCAGTCAGTTATCATAGAATTGGCTCCAGACCACGAGTTTCCTGTGACTGCTACAGTCTATTCTAATGTAATAGACCTTATCATTTGAGTGCTTTACTTTCACCCAAATGTTAGACTTGTTTAACGTTTCATGTTTTATCTCCCTAAAGTGTTGGTGTTGCTACTTGTTACTCCTCAGGCAAACGAGAACAACAATGGAAGTGGTGGAGCTGAATCTTCTTCAGCTATCCAAAAGGCAGAGGATGTGGTCAGCAGCATGCTGGCAAAGGGCTTCTGCCTGGGGAAAGACGCAGTGAAAAAGGCCAAGGCGTTCGATGACAAACATCAACTCACATCAACAGCATCATCCAAGGTTGCTTCACTTGACCAGAAGATTGGCCTGAGTGGGAAACTCAGTGCAGGGACCACTGCTGTGAACGAGAAAGTGAAGGAGATGGACGAGAAGCTGAAGGTGTCGGAGTCAGCCAAGGCAGCTTTCACAGTTGCTGAACAGTCGGTCAGCAATGCTGGATCGGCCATCATGAAGAACCGTTACGTGCTGACAGGGACTGCATGGGTGACTGGTGCATTTGGTCGGGTGACCAAAGTTGCAGGTGAGGTTGGACAGAAGACGAAGGAGAAAGTGGCGGCTGAGGAAGAAGAAGCTAATAAGGCTTCAGGTTACGTTCCCATTTCGTGACTTGCTTGAGCCCTAGGAGTGGTTGTTTTGGACTTGGATTTGTACTGAAATCTTTGTGCCAGACATGGATGTTCCAGTTGCTTGTGTTGTTGGTGAGGAATGATGATTTTGTGTTTTGCCATATATAGTCTCCAACAGCAATGTTCTTGGTTGGGTGTGCCAGTACATACTAAAGATCAACTCTAGCAGGTTTCTCTTTTGAGTTTTGAATACACTTTGCTTTGAACTGGTGGTCTTTTCTTGCAACATTGTACAAGTAACAAGTTACTTTTCTTATTGATTCAATTGCAAAATACATTTCCATAGTCATAATTTCAAAAACTTGTGACAATAATAGCCACTTTTGGAGAAATACCAGATATAGCCACATTTCAAAAACTTGTTGGACTAATTTAGCCATTTCTGTCAAATATTTTAACACCGTCAACTATTCTGTCAGTTAAGTGGACGTTAGACTGAGGTGGCTGCCACCTAGAATGTCCACATGACAGCCACGTCACATGGCAGCCACGTCACATTTTAAATTAAAAAATATACTTTTATATGTCAAATCCCATTTATCTCTTCTTCTTGCAACAAGAACCCGACTGCTTCCGACATCCTTAGCTTTATCGTTGTCGTCGATTCATCACAAAACCCAGAAGGGACTCGCTCCCCATCCTTTAATGGCCTATATGCCGAGCAGAGCAACTGTTGTCGTTCCAATGGAGGAAGTTATTGGACCAGGCACGATCTCCACAGACTTTCGACCCAGCAGCTCACACGGCCCGGTCAGCTCACACGGCCCGGTCCATCATTGTAGGAGAAATAGAAGTTCCGTATGTTGAAAGGAACTCTCCTCTGGTTACCCTAGTTGATTGTACCAAAGGGTATAAAACCCTTGTAAGGCCGCCGACCACAGTTAAGCAAGCAAAATAAGAAAACAAACTGGAGAGTTGATCTCTCCCATGGACTAGTCCCGATACTCGGGGAAACCACGTAAAATCTGTGTCTCGTTCGTTTCCGCGTATTAGCTTTACCAAATTCTATATGGTATCAGAGCTTTGATCATCTTGCTCAATCATGGCTGGGGAAGATTCGCCGAACTCGTCCAGCATCAACAACGGCGGTGGGCATAAACCAACGAATGGAGATGTTGATGCCACGAGTCCGTTTTTTATACATCAATCCGACATCACAGGTCACTTGCACGTTAGCATCCTGTTGACCCCGTCGAACTACGGCAAGTGGGTTTTGGAGATGACGGATGCGCTCGTTACCAAGAACAAGCTTGGCTTTGTAGATGGAACCATTCCACGGCCGGAAGGTACCTCGTCGAAGTCTCTCCCTTGGGTTCGCTACGATGCACTCGTGAAAGGCTGGCTTCGGACCGCCATGGATGCGGAGCTTCGCAGCAGCGTGATGAATACTAAAACGGCCCAAGAAGTATGGGAAGATCTCCGCGACAGGTTTAGCAAAGGTAATCTAACGCGTGCCTATGAGCTACGACGTCATGTCATTCTCTTGCAACAAGAAACACAGTATGTATCCACGTTTTATACCAATCTTCACCGAATCTGGGAAGAAACACAGTCCATCTTGCCGCCACCAATTTGTTCTTGTGGCCGCCGAAGTCGTGACCGGAACGAGAGTCTATGCTTGCTTGATTTCCTTCTCGGGCTAGACGACTCTTTCGCAACTGTACGCAGCCAAATTCTCTCTATGTCGGCGCCTCCCTCTCTTCCCGAGGCCTTTCGCATAGTTTTAAATGATGAACAGCAGCGAACACTAACGCAGCAACGAAAGCTCGTACCTGAGGCAGCTGCTTTCGCGTTGCAGCAGCAGGATGCTCCGCGAGGTGGAACCGGGAGTCGCGGCGGTCGTGATCGCAATTTAGGCGAGAGAGAGAAGTTGGTTTGCACGCACTGTCTTAAGCAGGGTCATCTCAAAGACACGTGTTAGAGAGTGGTATAAGATCCAGCATAACCTTCTCCCAACAACTCGAGTTATTGGGACCAACTGGTTTATGACATGGTCCGAGGGAGACTAGAGTATGTCGTCTCAACAAGTCGCTCTATGGCCTCCGACAGGCCTCTCGAAACTGGTATCACAAGTTCACAGCGGCTCTCTATGAACTCCAGTTCTGACCGTCCCCAACAGATCACTCACTCTTCATTTTTCACCGGGGAAGTGTCCATGTTGTGGCGCTTATCTACGTTGATGATGTGCTTCTCACTGGCACCAGCCTAGAGTTCATCAATCAGGTCAAAGCTTTCCTGCATCAGCGTTTTAGCATGAAAGATCTTGGCCCTCTTCGTTACTTCCTGGGTATTGAAGTGGCTCGTGCCCCTGAGGGTCTTGTTCTTAGTCAAAGAAAATATGTTACGAAATCATTGGCTGGCCCTCTCGCGATCATGATCGTGATAGACCCGACAAGAAGCAACCAGATCGCCGCCGAAACCGTGATGCAAGAGATAATGGGAAAAGGAAGAGGTCCAAATCGTGAACCGAAGGCCGCACAGACAGAGGCCAACTTGAATCCCATGTCCGCCTTCACTCTACAACAGCTTGAACAGCTCAAACAATTCCTGGGCAGCATGGCGCAAGGAGCGGCCGATCCTTCTAGTCACATGGCGGGTATGTACTCTTTCTCCGGTGAGTCAGAATGGCTGATTGAATCATGTTGAAATGAGCATATAGCCATGGATAGTTCTTTATTTACTACCTGTCATGCTAATATTCCTACTCAGCCCGTTCGAATTCCGAATGGCGCCAGTATACTGGTTCAGCGCATTGGGTCTATGAAGCTCAGTAATGGTTTTGTTCTTAGTCGTGTGTTGCATGTTCCGGAGTTTCGCTGCAACTTTCTATTTGTGAGCCGCTTGTGTCAAGAACACAACGTGGCGTTGATCTTTTGTTAGAATATGACTTGAATTTGATTTGAGTTTGTTTTGTGTTTTGGGCTTATTTTGTTTGGGTTTGGGTTTGTGTTTGGGTTTTGTTTTGGCCTTTTCCTTGTAGATTTGGAAAAGGTGTTTGGTTTTCTGTTTGGGATTAGGAGAAGAGTTCTATAAATACTCTTCATCACCCTAGTCTGTAGTAAGGTCAGTCAGGTTAGTTTATTTGGTTTGTCTGTTCCGGAATTTGGTTTGTAACCTGTACTCTCCTCAAATTAGTGAAATTTGTTCTCCTCTGTTCGTGGATTAGCTAGCACACATTGTGTTAGTGAACCACGTTAAATTTGTGTTCGCTTGTGTTAATCTTGATTGTCGATTGCACGCTTCTGTTCTGACAAGTGGTATCAGAGCCTGGTTGCGGTTTTGGGAATTTGGCGCTGGACTGAAGTTTTGCTTTGTGGAGGTAGCTTTCAATTCTTCAGCTTGGTTCGGTGGAGGAATCGCTTTGAAGTTGACTTTGGGTAGTTGTGTTTTGGTCTCGCTTTTTTGGTGAGAAGTTTGGTTGGAGTTTGTTTGATAGTAAGAATGGCTGCTATCAGTATGAAGATTGAGAAGTTTACATGAAGAAACAGTTTCAGTTTGTGGCAGATCAAGATGCAAGTACTATTGAAACAACAGGGTTTGTGGGCTCCTTTGTTTGGAAAATCGAAGAAGGAAAGTATAGATGAAGAAGAGTGGATTACTTTGGAGGAGAAAGCTCACTCTACAATTTTGATTTGTTTGGCTGATGAAATCATCACTGAGGTTGCTACTAAGAAGACTGCTACGGGCTTGTGGTTGAAGCTTGAAAATCTATACATGACAAAGTCTTTAACTAACAAGTTGCATATGAAGCAACGTTTGTTCAGTTTACGTATGGAGGAAGGTACGTCTCTCAGGAATCTTCTAGATCAACTCAATACCATCTTGTTAGATCTGAGGAATATTGATGTTAAAATAGATGATGAGGATGCTGCCTTAATTCTGTTAGTATCTTTGCCACAGTCATATGAGAATTTTGTGGATTCTTTTATTGCTGGGAAAGATAGTTTGTCTTTGGAAGATGTCAGATCTGCTCTACATACTAGAGAGGTTCGACATAAGGCATCTGGTTCAGGTTCGGAAAATCAGGCATCTGGGTTGGCTGCTACTAGTAGTAGGAGACAACAATCTGGTAATAGGAAGGCGAATACAAATTCGAATTCTGCTGGTTTGAAGGATGATATCTGTCATTACTGCAAGGAAAAAGGACATTGGAAATTTGATTGTCCTAAACTGAAGAAATATCAGGAGAAGAAGGAATCATCCGCTGCTGTGGCGGAAGAAACTAACTCTGATTCTGAAGATGGTTTAGCCTTAGCAGTGAATGAACAGGTACATCATCAAGATGTGTGGTATTTGGATACTGCAGCTTATTGTCATATGTATCCAAGTAGGGAGTGTTTTTCAACTTATGAGCAGATAGATGGAGAACATGCTTTCTATGGCCAATGGTGCTATCTGTAAGATTGTTGGAAGAGGCTCCATCAGGACGAGGACACATGATGGTTCTGTTCACACCTTGACCAATGTTAAGCATATTCCAGAGATGACTAAGAATTTGATATCTTCGAGTCTACTAGACGGTAAGGGTTTCAGTTTCAAAGGTGAAGGTGGAGTGTTGTTTGTCTACAAAGGTTCTAAGGTGATTTTTAAAGGTGTCAAACGGGGTGCCTTGTATAATCTACAAGGTTCTGTTTTGACATGTTCGGTTGGTGATAAGTGTAGCAAGTTGGTTCTGAATGGCAAGTCTCAATATGGATTGGACTTGCCGAATGGTTTGAGTTGTTGACCACCCTTAGGGGCATTTGGAGGCAGGGGAGATTCTGGTACAACTGATTTGGAGGAGTTTGGTACATCTGGCAACTTTGGTTGCGTCTGGTACATCTGGTACTTGAGAGAGAATTCAAGTCAAGGTGGAGATTGTTAGAATATGACTTGAATTTGATTTGGGTTTGTTTTGGGCTTATTTTGTTTGGGTTTGTGTTTGGGTTTTGTTTTGGCCTTTTCCTTGTAGATTTGGAAAAGGTGTTTGATTTTCTGTTTGGGATTAGGAGAAGAGTTCTATAAATACTCTTCATCACCCTAGCCTGTAGTAAGGTCAGTCAGGTTAGTTTGTTTGGTTTGTCCATTCCGGAATTGGTTTGTAACCTGTACTCTCCTCAAATTAGTGAATTTTGTTATCCTCTGCCCGTGGATTAGCTAGCACACATTGTGTTAGTGAACCACGTTAAATTTGTGTTCGCTTGTGTTGATCTTGATTGTCGATTGCACGCTTCTGTTCTTACATCTTTCTTGGTGATTTCTACATTATACAGGACTTACACTCCAAGAACGTGATTGGGAAGGGGGAGATTCGTGATGGTT